GGGCACAGGGACAGGTTTGGGGACAGGGACAGGGACAGGTTTGGGGACAGGGACAGGTTTGGGGACAGGGACAGGGACAGGTCTGGGGACAGGGACAGGTTTGGGGACAGGTTTGGGGACAGGGAGCAATGCGAGGTTCCCCCATCGAGGCTCTGAGGACAGAGCAGAGCGGGCAGGGGTGGCCCTGGCGATGTCACCCCGCGGTGTCACCCACGGGGCCGCTCCCACCCGGAGCCGAGATCGAGGCCACGGAGGAGGCGGAAGGAGGCAGGAAGTGACTTTTATTAACATTAAAAAACATAAAAACCCCACATTTCCCCTTAAAATTGTTCCATCCAGATTTTCCCATCGGGAATCCCAGACTGGAGGAGCCCCCGGCACCGGGTGGGACAAACTGGGGATGTCCCCAAGCTGTCCCCACCCCCCCGCTCGGGGAAAAGGAACTTCGGGAAAGCTCCGGACGGCATTTGGGATTTTTGCGGGAGCAGCTTTTGGGGTGAAATGGGCAAAAAAGAAAAAAAAAAAAAAAAAAAAAAAGAGCAGCCAGGGAATTCCCAGAATTCCCACAGATCCCTCGGGAAAATCCCCAAGGATATTCCCGCATCCCACATTCCCAAATCCCAAAGCTTTGTTTGTCCCGAAATGTCCCCAAATCCCATCCGGGCTGAGGGGTTTGGGGGGGGGTCCAGAGGGTTCCTCCTGCTGAGCCCCGGAAATTTTGGGAATTCCAGGTTGGAAAATCCCCGTTGGAATGGGGAAGAGGGAAAAACAAAATCCAAGCGAGGCCCGGGGTGGGGTTGGGGACAGAATTCCAGAGGCTCCACGCGGATCGGGATGGGAGAGGAGGGATCGACATAAATGAAGGGATGAGGGCTCTGGAAAAATCCCAAATATCGCTGGAGCAATTCCAGGAGAATTCCAGGTCTGCGCCGGGGGTGGGGGGACAAGCGGGATTGTCACCTGTCCCTTTCCCTGCCTCAGTTTCCCCGCCCGAGCTAAAACGCTCCAAAGGGAGCAGAGCAATAAATAAAAATTCCCGAAAAACCGGGAGGGAGAGGGAGGGGGGAATAAAAAAACCCCAAAAATTAAAAATGACGGAAAACTTCTCATAAAATCATTTATTTTAAATATTTCCCTGCAAAATCCTGGGAATTGGCGGCTCCCCGGGGGATGTGTCCCCGTCAGGGAGCGGCAGCCCGGGGGTGGGGGGGGGATGCTCGGTGTTAATGATCATTATTCATGAATTAATTAATCAACAGCAGCGGGGGGTTTGGGGGTGTGGGGGGAGCCCCCAGGGGAGGGGCTGGGGGTGGGGGAGGGGGCTGGGGGGGTCCCCCCCGCTCCTGTCACAGCCGTGTCCCCGTGGGAGGAGGGGGTCAGCGGGGGGGGGGGGTGTAGGAGGGTGGCACTTTGGGGTGGTGACACCCCAAGGTGTCCTGGACAAGGTGGTGACACCGTGGGGTACCTGGTGATGCCGCCGCAGAGTGTCCTACACAAGGTGGTGACACCCCAGGACACCTGGACAAGGTGGTGACACCGTGGGGTACCTGGTGATGCCACCAGAGGATGTCCTGGACAAGGTGGTGACACCCCAGGACACCCAAAGTGGTGCCACCTCTGCATGTCCTAGCAAGGTGGTGACACCCCAGGACACCTGGACAAGGTGGTGACACCCTAGGATGTCCTGGACAAGGTGGTGACACCTCAAGGTGTCCTGGACAAGGTGGTGGCACCTCAGGGTGGTGACACCCCAGGACACCCAGACAAGGTGGTGGCACTGCAGGGTGTCCTGGACAAGGTGGTGACATCCCAAGGTGTCCTGAAAAGGTGGTGACACCCCAAGGTGACAATGCCATCACAGGATGACAAAGTGATGACACCCCAGGATGGCCTGACCAAGGTGGTGACATCGTGGGGTATCTGGTGATGCCACCTCAGGGTGTCCTGG